AAGGAATGGGAGTGGGGAGAGAGATAGAGGGGGGAAGTGTACCTTAATGCCTAATCAGTGGTGTTCGCAGTGGCCAATAACGACAAGCAAGTCCGAAAGTTTTACGTACGAGGTCCCTTGAAGTAAGAGCCTGTTTCAGCGCCATCTCATAGGTAGGAATGTTGGAGAGAGCAAGCAGCGAGTGGATGGAGGATGGAGGAGGCACTGAGGCACAGATGGAATTCTCAGCGGGATACAGCTTTATTTCGCATGGGGCACCATTCCCTCGTGGAAGGGAAAGATGTCAGGGAAGGGAAGGATGTCAGGGAAGGAAAGATGTCAGGGAAGGGAAGGATGTCAGGGAAGGGAGGGATGTCAGGGAAGGAAAGATGTCAGCCCACTGGTTGTGAGTTGGGACTTTATATATGGGGACTTTAGGGTGTCAAAGGGGGGAATGTTTGGGGGAGAAATCAGGGATAGGGAAGCAGGAAAAGCAGGTAGGATTAGGGTCTGGAAGTGTTTACTTTTTCCCTCTTGAGATAAGAGAAAAGCTGTTGTAATAAACAGCTTCTAAAATCTCTGGTTATCAGGTAGAATCTGCTTATCTTATCTTTGGAGATCAGAGGGGCGGAGAGTAGTGAAGGGGAAAGGGGAGAGAGAGAGGGAGAGAGAGCTGAAAGGAATGGGAGTGGGGAGAGAGATAGAGGGGGGAAGTGGAACTTAATGCTGAATCAGTGGTGTTTGCAGTGGCCAATAACGACAAGCGAGTCTGAAAGTTTTACATGCGAAGTCCCTTGAAGTAAGAGCTGGTTTTGGCACCATCTGATAGGTAGGAATGTTTGAGAGAGTGAGCGGCGAATGGATGGAGGATGGAGGAGGCACCGAGGCACAGATGGAATTCTCAGCGGGACACAGCTTTATTTCGCATGGGGCACCATTCCCTCGGGGAAGGGAAAGATGTCAGGGAAGGGTAGGGATGGGAAAGATGTCAGGTAAGGGAAGGATGTCAGGGAAGGGAAGGATGTCAGGGAATGAAAGATGTTAGGGAAGGGAAGGATGCCAGGGAAGGAAAGATGTCAGGGAAGGGAGGGATGTCAGGGAAGGAAAGATGTCAGCCCGTGGGTTGTGACCTGGGACTTTATATATGCGGGCTTTAGGGTGTGGAAGGGGGGAATGTTTGGGGGAGAAATCAGGGATAGGGAAGCAGGAAAAGCAGGTAGGATTAGGATCTGGAAGTGTTTACTTTTTCCCTCTTGAGATAAGAGAAAAGCTGTTATGATAAACAGCTTCTAAAATCTCTGGTTAACAGGCAGAATCTGCTTATCTTATCTTTGGAGATCAGAGGAAAGGCAGGCTGCTTCTCAGCAGTTTGTTTCTCTTGACTTCAAAGGCCA